AATAATAATCTTTATTCACTATAATCACTAAAAGTATTTACAAAAATTATGATGAAATGCTTAAAAATCGAAAACAAATGCGTCAAAATGTCCAGTAAAAATTCCAGAAAAGCTCATGGATACACACTTCTTATAATAATCATAATGATGATCATAATTAAGGTATAAATATTACAAAACAAGTATAAAAAGTCTCTAACTGAGAGAAAAGTTTTGAATCTCTTCGGTATTAACTTAATAATAATAATAGATTTTTCCTTAAAAATATCTCACAAAAAGCAGTTCTCTAAAAATAATAATAATAATAACAATTATTATTATTATTATAATAATTATTATTAAAGCCGCTATCTCACTACATCAGCAAATTTCAGTGTGACACTGAGAAACATTGTGATGATTTTGTTTGGTTAAATGAAAGCTTACGCCCTTTCCTATGGGATGAAATACAATAGAATCACCTATCAATGATACAACGGGTCTTTTTATTGGTCAAAATACATGTAGGCCTCAGAGTGCAATGGCATTCTTAGGAATAAGATACCGCCATGTAAGAGTGCCATTAATGGCACATTAGGGCTTAAAGGGTTAATAACAGGACTTTGTATTGTATATAGCATAAAGGCACTATGTTTTTTTTGCTTGAAAGGGATCTGGCACTAATATTATCAGTGCTAGACCATTTGCAAACCTTTCAACAGTTGGTATTGCTCACCACCATAATGCAGCCTGGAATCATTCTTTGTTATAGCTGGCCAGCTACCTGAATTACAAATTTGGGGAAAGAACATGCTGTATTACATCATGCAGTAAATTCATTCCCACGTCAGACTAGCCATGGACTGGTTTTTTTTTCTTATTAAGCTCTTGATAAATTTGTTACTCAGAGATCAGCTAATTAGCAAGAAAAAAACTTCATTACTGGAGGTGAAATGAAACCTGGATTAAAAGTGTCAAATAAGAAGTAACTCTTGCTGTTTTTTTCTTTTTCTTTTAGTTTTACAGAATGAATGCCACTCCTTATTCTGTTTCAAAAGAAGATTACATCCTTGTTGAAATAATGCACAACAATAATTTCATTGTGTCCTCACGTGAATATGGTGGAGAGAAGTGGAGAGATGGAAATGCCTTGAGAGTTTCCTTTACTGTCCGAGAGGCTGGAGCCTATAAAATATCTGTTCTGGTTAAGGGGAAACCAATCAGAGGCAGTCCTTTCACAAAAACATTTTTACCAGGTTCTGTATTCTTACACAACTTAAGATGTTTTTTAGGGATAGGAGATGTGGTGGTAATTTGTTGATGTGTTGGGCTCAGGATAGAAATGACCAGATTCTAACTCTACAATGGTCACTGGGTTTTGTGTATGGA